GTTTTCAGAGCCCAAAGATAACCAAACAGTAGAGCCTATGAGAGATGAGATAATGGCGTAACGCAATCAACTGAAACAAGTCTGAACTTCACCACCACTTCATACACACAGAGACAGAGAGAGAGAGAAACAGAGAGGAGAACAGGTTTTTGGTTCAGTTTGGTTGAGATGTGTTTGGTTTGAGACTCTTTTGGGCAACTGTTAGCCCAAACACATAACACATATACCAAACACACAGTCGTCGTCTTCGTCGACAGACTTCTTCTTCAAAACTCTAATGTATTTGTCGATTGAGATTCACTTATAATTTCCTGAGAGTCGAGCCTTTACTTCTCGTTGGCATAACTTCTTAAGTCGACTGAAAAGAGTCTGGTTTTCGCCCAAAATATAGTTTATAACACAGGTTTCGGGAGAGGAGAGAGAGAGAGAGAGAGAGAGAGACGACTTGAAAACAATGTATTTTGTATTGTATTTTATTTTTCTTATGAACGCACCACTACTTCACTACTTCTTTGCGCTGACATAACAGCCCTCATAAACGGCTAATTCATAACTTATTTTCAAAACCAAAGCCTATTCTGCATAACGTTAGTCGAGGAGAGAGAGAGAGAGAGAGAGAGAGAGACCTAAACAGTTGTTTTGTGTCGAAATAAGTTGTAATCATTTATTTTACTTTACGATTATATTATTTTTCCGGCGTTCCGGTCGACGAAATTAAATGTTTAAAATATTTCATAATATTCTTTAACAATCATAAGAGGTATTTATACCAGAAATATTGTGAATGACTCGATTGTTACACTACTTAACCGTATACTGTATTGTTAGTGCAGTTTTCACAGTAGCTGTGATTTTGTGACAATGTTTTGTCCCTTAAATCTATCACTAATACAACAATACAGGTATTGGGGTATTGAATAGACGCACAGGTATTTACAGGTAGTTTACGACCACTAACTCAGACAATACTTTTGAAATATAAGTCAAGGCAAGTGTTAAATACAGTGATATCTATAATTAAAATATTAATGTAATTTAATATACAGTATTAGTGTTTGGACTTTCAGTGTTGTTCCCAAAACAAAAACCACTGGAAAATAACTAAATTAAATTTTTGTTGTGCCAAACATATACTGAATTTATTCACTATTATTATAATAACATTACAGTAGAGTATCATTACCTGAATAGTAATATACACATAGCCTTGAGTTAGAGCTTAACCATAACCTATTGTGGTGTTTCTCCATTTGGTTCGTGTAGTTTAGTATAGATTTGCCATTCATTTGCATTCAATATGATATTCAAGACGTCTTATGTTTGGCATATAAGAGGTCACAACGAAAAGCAAACTTTTTTAAGAAACTTCTCATATATTTGTCTAACGATTACATCTAAAGATAACATAGAAGTCAACGCACAAAATGTCACGCAAATTGTAATCATTATTGTCATTATGTAGTCTTAAATATTTTAATATTGACGAGAATTTTCTGTATAGTAAGACAATAGTTGTTATTATTATTGTTTATTCGTTTTGTTTAATTTTTATGACAATTATATAATTTATGGTATTTTTGTCTCCACTTATGTAATAATTTATACAATGAAAAGCGAGCCCTAAGTCTATAAATATAGCGAATCGTTGTCTCCATACGATTCTTAGACCGCATTTTTGTGAATATAAAAAATAAGTTTTACTTTAATGTAAAAACAAGTATTTGTGATATTTTATTCAGTAGTTATGTGTATTTAATCTAAATATTTAGTGAATAAAAAAATTAATTATACAACAAAATCTAACACAAAAGTAATGAATTTTGTTTTGTTTGTTGTTTTTTCGTTGTTAAGTATGTATACCAATAATATTATGGCCCGCAATAAAAGTTTAATTAAAATAAGTCAATGGACTTCAAAATCTACATTCATTTCTCTCAATGGCTTTTGATTTGTGTTTTGGATATAAATGTTATCTAAAATTTAAATGTCAATTAAGTGGTAATAAGTATTGAAATCTATTTATTATTGCGAGAATCGATGTTTAATCTAAACTTATGGTCAGTCTGGAGACTATTGACTAGACTTTCTTGAAATACATTTAAAATTTGTTACAAAATTGTTGTCAAAAAGGAAGAAAACTCTTTAAAAGTATACGAAAAAGGGTTAATATATATTTTTGACAGAAATACACATTATTTTATTTGTATTAATAACTCAAATCAAACGAGTTTTAAATTATAGTAATCTTTGATTTTTAAAATACATGCTTTAATACATAAGTTTATTTTAAAATTACAAGCAAGATTAATTTTCAAGTTTGAAAACTGAGACATTACTTCTAGTTTATAATGATTCTATCATCATTAAATTAAAAATACTTATGTTTTACCATAAAATAATTTATTTTTAACTTAAAACAAAAAAATTAAATCATTATAATTAATTTAAAGCTAAAATATTGTACAATATTTGAGAGCATTATGTCTGGTATAAAAAGATTAGGGTAAATAAAAATTTATTTACTGTTGAATATTTCCACAAACAATTATGTTAATGATTTAACTCTTAATAAAGTTTTATTATAACATTTTATAATAGAATATAAATAAAAGCATACAATTAATGATTGTATACTCGATTGAAAAAACAAATAAATTCATAATTATTCTGTAAATTGATGTTTGATTTGATGTTCAAATCATAGAAATTATGAAAAAAGCATTTCGAGAAAAATTAATTAAATTGCTTTTAAGTGACTAACTCTTATGATATCACGACTATTATTGTAAACACTGTTTAATATTATAGTTAATGATTTCGCAAAAAATATATCCCTAAATATAGTCCCGTTTTGAGTGATTGTGTAATAAAACATTTTGAAAACCAATTGTAGTCGTGATTCTGGATCTGTTGATAACTCACAGCTTTACAGTTGTAATAATAATGAGTGTATCGATGTCTATGGACTCAAGAAGTGGTCACCACTTCCTCTTTAGCGAAGTCGTGACAAATCATAATATCCGAGAAAAAGGCGTTCAATTACATAATGAAAATGAATTATTGTTGTGTTGTATTTGCGATACCATATTATGTATAGGAAATGAGTTTTTAAATGAGATTTTGTTACTTAACGCTATGTTTTGTAAAATTGATGTTTCATTTTATTTCCAAGAATTGTATTCAAAAGGAGTTTTTGCAAAATAAAGGAAAAGTATATTTAAAATATTCTGAATGTCATAAATACTTGTTTTACTGTAAATTCAATACTAATTAGACTCAAGGCTTTTAAGGCCTGGGATTGCATTTTCTCTCTCTCTCTCTCTCTCTCTCTCTCTCTATTTTAATACAAATGACATACACCGTACAGAACTGTATGTATCATATAATCCTGTTTTTATTAATTGTCTCCATTATATCTTCAGTGCCAACGGTTTGTAAGTTTAGGTAAAAACGGTTTACAGTTATTGTTAGTTATATTATTAAATAAAAATATATATTCTTTAGTTTTCAAATTGAAGGACACTTTTAACCCAAACTTAAAAACATCTTTTTTAAACAACTCGTTGTAATCCATATAAACACACTCTCTATTCATTCCCAATGAATAGATTTCACGTGTATTTTATATTAAATATAATATTTTTTAAATGCATTTCTATTGAAAGCAATAATTTAATCAAATAATACCAAAAATGTATTTTAATTAAAAACAAATATTTGAAAGAAATTCAATGAATTGAATGTTTGCTCTATTTTAGGAAACCTTATATAAGAAATATAATTGAATTTAACATTCATTTCTGTTTTAGGAATTATTAATAAAATGTATTCTAGAAATAGAAATAAAATCAAATATTAAGTCATTTATGTTTGAAGTGTTGACACATATATGAAGATGTTATCAATTTATGAAGCAATCAAAGTGTTTATCACAAATAATCTCTAATATTGGACTCAATTCTCTATTTATATGATTATTATAAGAGAGAAAACATTTCATTAGAATCGCTTCATTGGCTTTTTATAAACCTTTTTTGATTGTTATTTGGATTACAAATACATTTCTTACGTAAAGCGAAATCTGGAATAATTTAAAAACACATTTCGATAACAAAAACTAAAATTACATTTCAATGGAAAAGAAAGGCTTTCTTATGCTTTAAAAGTGCTTTTATAATGAGATGATTGACTGAATAGTAATGTGATTAATGAATGAATAGCAAAGCGGTGACGGCTCTACACAAACGCCTTGTCCTTCGACACAGTCGTCGGTTTAGTAACTGATTCCTCGGTTTTGCGATTCACACGAAGACTCAAAACAAAAATAACTCATTTATTATACGATAATTAAACCGATGAAAAAATAACAAAAAATTATTTGCGACAAAAAACACAACAAATTCAACAGAAAATTCTCTCCGAATGTCAATTGAAGTCATAATACAATAGGAATCGTGTATTAAACAAAATGACGACAATTATAATGACTTAAATTATAAGTCGTTTTTTGATAATCATTATAAACTGTTTTACGGATCGATTGCTAAGCCTTACTATACTGTCTATACACATGTATAGGAATTTTCTTTGGAAATTCTCAGACAAATTTTCATTACTATTACTATTAATGATTGTTTTCGTTTTGAAAAATAAGATGTTTTTGAAAAAAAATTAGAGCAATTTATTGATATTTATTTCGCATAACAATTGTTTTGTGACAAAATGAATAAATTTAATATTTATTATTTGTGTTGAATGTGAGCACAAAAGCGGAAATAATAGAAATATTAAAGAAAAACACAGAAAAGGTTTGATTCAATAGTAGGAAAATATATACTGTGTTTTGAATCCGTAAATATTGATTGAAGCGAAACGTTTGTGAAAATAACCAAAAACTTGAATACAAAGTAAAACTACAAATCTATTGACAAATATATTTTTGCATATAAATTGTATTGTATTTTTCAATTGTTTAAAATATAGCCTAAATGTCACCTCAAATGAATCGTTTATAAGTTTTCAATTTATAAAACACATATCATATGATATTATTTTGATTTTTTTCATCTATTCTTTTCTTGAAAATATATATTATTTTACATTTTATGAATATTTATTCATTTATATAAAAAGAGTTGTATAGAGTAGTAGACGAGAAATAAAAGTGTCTAAACATATATCCATGTATTGTGGGTTCACCTGAAATAACTATCATTTCAATCAACAGAAATAGTCAATCCATTGGTTAACAGTTCTTAATGATAATATTCTGTGCATAATATATAGCTATAATTAAATGAAATTTTTCATTGTATTATACAAAATGCTAGACTCGTGTATTGTGTTTTATAGTCACACAATATATGCATTTATTTATATGATTCTCAAATAATAGTATAGCGAAAAATTTTGTTAAAAATTTGTTTTATTAAAAATTTTATTTTAATTCTGTCTCTCAAACAATATAATGAATGACAGACAGAATGCGGTGGAAATCAGAAATGTTTTCTTCAATTACAAGAGCGACAGAAATATTCTCAACGGAATTGATTTGACTGTTCCTAAAGGCATGGATACAAATAATCATATGTTTTATTACTTTTATATTCAATCTTTAATTTTTAATCCCAAATGAATTTATGTTAATTTAGGAGGAATTTACGGTTTACTTGGTATGAATAATCATCACATTATTAGGCTATAAATGTAAACGTTTATTGAAACTACAGGTGCGAGCGGTTGTGGAAAGACAACTCTATTAAGATGTGTATTGGGAAGACTGCAACCGAAGAGTGGATCCATTTATTTATTTGGAGAAACGCCGGGAACCGCTATGAGTCGAGTGCCCGGACCTGGCGTTGGATATATGCCTCAAGAGTTGGCCCTTTACGACGACTTCAGTATCGAAGAAACTCTCGTATATTTTGGCCGATTATTTGGTATCAAATCCAAAATTATAGACTCGAGGATTGAATTCATGATTAATTTGCTTCAATTACCAAATCGTAAGAAATTAATCTCACAATTAAGTGGAGGTCAGAAGAGACGCGTTTCGTTGTCGACCGGTATTTACTTCTTAACTAATGTTAAGTTTTAGATAATTTTGAAATTATTCTCATTTATTGTATCAACAAATATAGCACTTTTACACAATCCTCCACTTCTAATACTCGGTATTTATATTTTTAAAAGGTTTTACGTAAATGTCTGTATTAAATGTGAATTTACCATTAGATGAGCCCACAGTAGGCGTGGATCTGATTCTTCGAGAGGCTATTTGGAAGCATTTGGAGAATCTCTGCAGAACTGGTTTGACTGTAATTCTGACCACACATTACATAGAAGAGGCCAGAAGTGCATCGAATGTAGGATTTATGCGCTCCGGAAGAATATTAGCCGAAGACTCACCTCTTCAGCTCTTAAGAAGACACCAATTAATGACTTTAGAAGAAGTGTTCCTTAAATTATCGCAATTAGAAGACGACATGAAAGTGAATAATAAACTGACGTTTAATAGAAAGTCAATCACTAATGAAATATTGGACACAAATATCATCAGTAGTCCTGAAGACCAGACATCAGAAAAGATATCATTGAAAGTCATTAAATCTGACAATTCTTCAAATAATTCGCAAGAATTTGATCGCAATTCTGGCGAAGGCTTTGTAAACAATGGCTTCATTGCGGACTCGACTCTTCCCGACGAACACATCGGAACAGTTGTGTCCAAAGAGTACAATCTATCCAATGGTGTCATTCAAATCAGACAACAGAGTATCGCAAATGAGACCAAATTCCGCAATCGTTTGTCCGCTCTTACGCTCAAAAACTATAGGCAAATGTCGCGAAACGTATTGCTGTTGTCGTTCTTCGTGTTATTGCCATCGATTGAAATCTGTTTACTAATCATGAGTATTGGACAAGACATCAAAAACATTCCCGTCTCTGTCTATAACCCGGAAAAGTTGGAAACTTCTCAGTCGTTAAGCGAATTATTCTTGAGTTCAATCGACGAAAAGCACATCACTTTAGTTCGCTATAAGA